GACTCAGTATGAGATTCTTCAGAATGTGTGTGGCAACATGAAAGATTTACATAGGTTGATCGTGAATGGTTGCGTTGAGCACGAGATTGCTGAATATGTCTTACCTCAGTTTCAACTCATGACTGAGAGAGTAGGACACTTCATTTGGGATGATCATATTGATAGAATTTCTCGTCTCTTCAAGCTAGTTCATCTATTCTTGAAGATTATTCCAATTGATCTGGATACACATGTTATACAAATTTGAAAGCTTCAACTTCAGAAAAAGTTGGATGCTTCATTAAGCAGCTCCTAGAAACCTCTCCGAATATTCTTCGGGAATAGCCTATTCTTCGGGAATAGCCTATTCATTTACAAGAGCACATGGTAACTGTTACTACCCCTAGCAGTTTTAGGGCTCGAAACATTTATGTCATGATTGAGTTCCTATTAATTATTCTTTTTGATATGCAAACGGACTCTATTCATCATGACAAACTTTTTTATCTATTGGCTCGTGTTGGAGAACTTACCAGGGAGGTATCAACTCTTGTTAGCGACTTAGAAGAGAAATCAAGGAATAAAGAGAGTACCGATGAGACAAATCGTGCCACTCTAGACTTGTAGGAAAATATTGAACTCCTCAAGAAAGATCTCAAACATGTTTATCTGAAAGCCCCGGACTCATCTCAATGTTGCTTCCCCATGAGTGATGGACCCCTCTTCATGCATCTACTACACATACACTTACATGATTTGCTAGATTCTAATGGTTATTCAATTGCTTTGATAAAGGAACAAATTGGGCTGGTGAAAGAAGACTTGGAATTCATAAGATCTTTTTTTGCGAATATTGAGCAAGGATTGTATAAAGATCTCTGGGCACGTGTTTTAAATGTGGCATATGAGTCAAAAAATGTCATTGATTCAATTATTGTTCGAGACAATGGTCTCTTACATCTTATTTTCTCACTTCCCATTACCATAAAGAAGATCAAGCTTATCAAAGAAGAGGTCTCAGATTTACATGAGAAGATTCCCAAGAACAGAGGTCTCATCGTTGTGAACTCTCCCATGCAGGGGCGGACCCACGTGTTGTCGAGGGGGTTCACCCGAACCCCCTCGATAAAAAATTACACTGTATATATAAGGTGAATTTTTTGGATTTATGTGGATATATATATTTTGAACCCCCTCAATGACAAGGTGAAGGAGATAGCCCAGCGGTAGCTCCCTTCAATATTAAGCCTGACGTCCAGGGATCGAATCCCTGGGGTTAGCGTCTTTTTTTTAGTTTTTTACTTTCAGTTTTTTTTTTTTAGTTCCAGTTTCAATTTTCATGTTTTTTTAAGTTTTTTTTTTTTTAATAAAAAGTGCTAAAATGTGGTGTTAAACCCAAAAAATTCAAGGGTCCCATACTCCCATTCCTAAAAGCTAATAACTTTTTCACTTTTCAAATCCCTAAATCACTTTCTTGTTCTTCCCAACACTCAAAACTCAAATATTAAAATCATCTCCCATAATATTCTATTGTTGATTTGACATATTTTAAAGGGCTAACTTTTTGTTTCACTGTAATCACTTATGTTAGTTTCAGATTTCTTGTAACGAAACTAACTTTTTGTACCTATAAACTATATACTACTACTTCATAGAAATTTATTTTTTTTGGCTTATTTACACGTTTATACTTTTATTTTTCGAACCCCCTGAACGAAAATCCTGGGTCCGCCACTACTCCCATGAAGCCAGTTAAAAACAAGTCATCATCGGCTGGTAAAATAATTGTAGGTTTCGAGGAGGAGACAAATTAGCTAATGAGAAAGCTCACCAGTGGACCGACAGATGTCATTTTGATCACTGGTATGCCGGGTTCTGGTAAAACTACTTTGGCGTACAAAGTATACAATGATAAGTCAGTTTCTAGTCATTTCGACCTTCGTGCATGGTGCACAGTTGACCAAGAACATGACGAGAAGAAGTTGTTGGGTACAATTTTTAATCAAGTTAGTGATTCAAATTCAAAATTGAGTGAGAATCTTGATGTTGCTGATAAGCTACGGAGACAACTGTATGGAAAGAGGTTTCTTATTGTCTTAGATGACGTGTGGGTTACTACTACATGGGATGAGTTAACAAGACCTTTTCCAGAAGTTAAGAAAGGAAGTAGAATCATTGTGACGACTCGAGAACAGGAAGTGACTTTGCATGGAAAGGTATACATTGATCCTCTTAACCTTCGATTGCTAAAACCCGAAGAAAGTTGGGAGTTATTAGAGAAAAGGGCATTTGGAAACGAGAGTTGCCCTGATGAACTATTGGATGTTGGTAAAGTAATAGCCCATAATTGTAAAGGGCTTCCTTTGGTGGTGGATCTGATTGCTGGAGTCATTGCTGGGAGGGAAAAGAAAAAGACTGTGTGGCTAGAAGTTCAAACTAATTTGATTCCTTTATTTTGAACAGTGAAGTGGAAGTGATGAAGGTTATAGAATTAAGTTATGTCCATTTACTACATCAAGTAAAGCCATTCTTTACCTTGCAAGTTTTCCAAAGGACAGACCTATAATAATCTCTGAGTTAATAGATGTATAGCGTGCTGAAGGACTTGTGGAACAGACAGAGAAAATGAGTGTGGAAGAGGTGATGAAGGTTTATTTGGATAACTTAATTTCCAGTAGCTTGTTAATTTTTTTCAATGAGATAGGTGATTACCCTACTTGCCAACTTCATGATCTTGTGCATGACTTTTGTTTGATAAAAGCAAGAAAGGAAAAGTTGTTTGACAAGATAAGTTCAAGTTCTCTATCTTCTTCTTCAAATTTGATGCCACGTATAGTGAACATTCATTACAACAGAAAGTTCTTTGGGCTTAACAATTTTGTCCTGTTTGGTTCAAATGAGAAAGGCCTTTCTGGTAAACACATGTATTCTTTGGGGATAATTGGAGACTGTCGTTTTGATACATTTCACCTAAGACACTTGAGGCTTCTTAGAGCACGTTGTACCTGGATCCCTCTTTTATCATGGTGAAAGATTCTTTGCTGGATGAAATATGCATGTTGAATCATTTGAGGTACATAAGAATTGGGACAGAAGTTATTGTCTTTCTCAAGCCTCTGGAATCTAGAAATCATGTGGGTGGATAACGAAGAATCAACCCTGATACTATTACCGAGAATTTGGGATCTTGTAAAGTTGCAAGTGCTGGTCATGACTGCTTGTTCTTTCTTTGATATGGATGCAGACGAATCAATACTGATAGCAGAGGACACAAAGTTAGAGAACTTGAGACATTTACACAAACTCGTGCTTTCGTATTGGAAAGATACAGAGGATATTTTCAAAAGGCTTCCCAATCTTCAATTGCTTCAATTTGATCTCAAGGAATCATTGGATTATTCAACAGAGCAATACTGGTTCCCGAAACTGGATTGCCTAACTTGAACTAGAAGACCTCACTGTAAATTTTGAAAGTTCAAACACAAATGACAGTGGGTCCTCTCCAGCCACAAATCGGCCATGGGATTTTCACTTCCCTTCAAGTTTGAAATGTTTGCAGCTGTATCACTTTCCTCTAACATCCGATTCTCTATCAACAATAGCGAGACTGCCCAACCCTGAAGAGTTGTTCCTTTATCGTACAATCATTGAGGGGGGAGAATGGAACATGGGGAAGGAAGACACCTTTGAGAATCTCAAATGCTTGACGTTAAATAAAGTGACTCTTGCCAAGTGGGAGGTTGGAGAGGAATCCTTTCCCGCGCTTGAGAAATTAAAACTGTGGGGATGTCGTAAGCTTGAGGAGATTCCGCCTAGTTTTGGGGATATTTATTCATTGAAAATTATCAAACTTGTAAAGAGCCCTCAACTTGAAGATTCTGCTCTCACGATTAAGGAATACACTGAAGATATGAGGGGAGGGGACGAGCTTCAAGTTGTTGGCCGGAAGAATATCCCGTTATTGAAGTAGCTCTTAAGAATTATGTGTGAACAGGCTTTTCTCCACTCTTTTGCTATTCTGATTCTTGTTAAAAGATGTCTACAATGTGTTTGATCAAGGTCTCAACTGAACTGTCTGTTTTTGAATACTAAGTAGAAATATCATTGTTATAAACAAATTTGACTATATTTGAAACATACATGGGATTATATTTGTTTCTAAGACTGTCTGCTTAGAAACCAAAATATATGTGTTTCTCTGATAAATTCAGTCGTTTACAGTCTTCTGTGAGTCCCTACTTATGGTACCACTGCCATTATCATCCCTAATCAGAAAGGGTTTTTGTTTTCACGAATTTATCCAGTTCACTCAAGCAGCTATTTATTACCCAAAACTTCCCTCTTTGATATTTCTTCTGTAAAGGATTCATTGGGTGTTTATAATTTGGGTGCGTTTATAGTTTATTCTTAAAAAATGGTAAATTCAAATGGATTTAAAAAATTTAGCTGATTTTTTTTTTTTTTTTTTAATAATAATGATGTGGTGGCCGAATCATCATCTCCATGTGGACAAAATAATTTTTGAAAATTGGATGGTTTTTCCGTTAATCCATAATGACATAGATGAGTCTTTTCTCAAACGAAAATATCATAGATGAACCAAATTTTTAACGGATAACATAGATGGTTCTTTTTTGAAAGTTCGATCACATATTTGAGTCTTTTCCCAGTAATATATAATGTAAATTTTAGAGTTTAATGATAAAAAAAAAAATATACCTGAACCATCATTAAAACACATCTTAAAGTCTTTGTACATGTGTGTTCAAGTCCTCTTCTTTTGATACTTGGGGTATTGGCTTCTGCAAGTTGTGTGCTTTGTGGTTAGATTCTAGATTGTAATACAATTAAGAAATTCTATGTCAAAAGGTGAAGATTATGTTTAGGTCTCTTATCATCTATCCAAGCATTGTGTTGGAAAGGTGTTTCCATTAGTGACTCAATATGAGGTTCTTCAGAAAGTATATGGCAACGTAAGAGATTTCCATGGGTTGATAGTGAATGGTTGCATTAAGCATGTGATGGTTGAGAATGTCTTACCTCTGCTTCAACTGATGGCTGAGAGAGTAGGAGATCAGATTAATGATGGAGACTCTCGACTTTTCGAGGTAGGTGAGGATGATCAAACTCATGAAGATGCTCAACTCTCCGAGGTAGATGAGAATGATCAGACTGTTGAAGTCTCTCGACTCTCCGAGCAAGATGAGGATGACCGTGGTGTCTGGGTCAACTTTCACGCACCTCGACTAATTCCACGGGATATATGTCACCTCCCACTAGCAACAAGATATTAGGTAACTCTGTCTACCAATGATATAACAGATGGGAAGAATCATCTGGTGTTTTTACCTCGGGATTTGAACCTAAGACCTTAGGAATCTCAACCACTTCATTGACTACAAACGGAGAGTATTGAAAGTTTGATTAACTTTCTTATATGTTTCCTTTGTGGCAGACAAGCATACTTGTGTACAAGTTAAAGGTCATAGTTGTTTTCTGAAGCCTAGTTAAGGGTCTTGTTAATGTGTTATGCCTAAAAAGAATGAATATAACTTGGAAACAAAAAGTAAATCAAATATATTCTAGAGGATAAATTGGCAGCACCAACAGGATCTTACACCTTTTTACTGTTCTGAAATTGGTAATGTTAAAAGATGTCTACAATGTGTTTGATGATTGAACTATTAAGTAGATGATATGATCCTTCTAACTCTTAGCAGATGAGGTTACTAAAATAACAAGCAACCAAAGCAGTTTAGAGAGATCACGAGATTTTTCTAGTAAGGTTTTAACTAGGCATATTATCTACTAATGGACATCCAGTGTTGTAAAATATCATGCTAAGAGTTACTACTTTGGTTTGCTCATTATTATTGAACATTGCTTTCATATAGTGAGTTAGTATCATTATTTGTTTGACGACACTATACAAATTCAATTTAGATTACTCTGGGTAAACAAGCCATATAGTACAACTTAAATAGCTCATCCTTTCAGCTATTAATATTTCTAGTTGAGAATGAATGCCTGTACAGTCCCAATGTCAGCTGACTGATTGACTTGTTCAAACATATTTTTTTTGATTTTCTTACTATCTTCTCCTCCACACAAATCTTATCAACCTAATAAATACTTTGTTGGAAGGACTATAGTCATACACACAAACAGACAACACCCATATCAGATTATAAGTGTGTGCTTAAACTTGTTATCTACATCAGATCCGGAGAATTACTGTCATGGAAAGAAGCAACTAAGAGGTATCTTATATTTACTTGGATCATTATCTTATTATAATATATAATCAAATTCAAAGTAGAAATAAAATAAAATACTGCACGTAGATTCTCGAGTTAATTTCACCCATGATCAATGAACTTTACTTGTGTATATGTAAAATTCTAAAAACTAATTTTCGTCTTACTAGATTCACTGAACCTTATGTGCTGTATCAATATAGCCACAAAATTAACTTTTGAATCATTAAATTCACTGAACTGTTTGTTAGTTACCCAGAAAGTATAATTCATCGGAAAGTCAAATATTTGGGCACTGAAATATAACATGTCAGCAGTTATTTTAAAAAATCTTACTGCAATGAAAATGCATTCCTTGAGAAATGGAAAATTTTAACCACCAAATTGTCGATAAACCCCACTAGATGCCTAGAGAAATCGAAAAAACCAACTGAACGGACATATTATGCTTCAAGAACCAATGGAGCTGATCACCAATAAGTACATAGGAATTGTACGGTATGTAATATGGCAGAATGAAACATGAAACATAACTAAAAGAGAAACAGGACGTCCAATAGAATCATAATCATAACATAGGAGGGAACATGAGTGGCATATGAGTATAAAAGGGGAACCATAAAAGCTACAATAGAGGAAGCAAACAACTCATCGGTATGGTAGGTGCCTAAGTAGAATAACATATAGCATGGTAGAAATGTGGCTTCGTAAATTTAATAGGACTAGGAGAATAACAGTTGGTCTTTTGGCAGGTGTCATTTTTTGCTCTTCACAAGGACGTTGACAATGTTCTGGATTTCATGGAGAGATTAAAGAATGAAGAAGATCAAAAGGCTGTTGATGTGGATCTAATTGAAAAGCTGAAATTGAAGCTGACATTTCTTTGTACATATATCCAGCTTTCTTATTCCGATTTGGAGCAGTTTGAAGATATAATGACTAGAAAAACACAAGAGGTTGAGAATCTGCTTCAACCAATTTTGGATGATGATGGCAACAAATTCGGGTGTAAATATGTCCTTACTAGCCTCGCCGGTAATATGGATGACTGTATCAGCTCGCATCATCGTTCTAAATCGGATGCCACCATGATGGATGAGCAATTGGACTTCCTCCTCTTGAATCTCTATCATCTATCCAAGAATCATGCTGAAAAAATGTTTCCTGGAGTGACTCAATATGAGGTTCTTCAGAATGTATGTGGCAATGTCAGAGATTTCCATGGGTTGATAGTGAATGGTTGCATTAAGCATGAGATGGTTGAGAATGTCATACCTCAGTTTCAACTCATGGCTGAGAGAGTAGGACACTTCCTATGAAGCCTCTCAACTCTCCGAGCTAGCTAAGGATGATCAAACTGATGAAGACAAAGATGATCAGACTGATGTGTCAGTTTTGCTGAATGCCTCTCAAAGTGAGAGTCTTTCCATTATAGAGAGAATAAAGATTACACATCCCTAAAGATCCGTCATTCCTATTCCTAAAGATCAGCTATTCTATCTCTACAAATATGCTATTCAATCCCTCTAAATCTGCTTTGCTATCCCTCCTAATCAGCTAATCTATCACAATATTTATTCCTTTGATTCTACAACAAATCTATTTGATCATGTTATTTTATATCACTACATAATTACATTAATATATACAATTGTTTAGATGTCCACCATGCTAACATCCCCTCTCAAATTAATGTTGGTGGATCAAGAAGCATCAATTTGCCTACTAGAAACTGATGGTGTTGCTGTGCCATGGATTTTGCAAACACATCAGCTATTTGAAGGTCACTGGACACATGTGGAAGAGTAACAATTCCTTTATCTACAACTTCTCGTTTATAATGACAATCTACTTTGATGTGTTTGGTCCTCTCATGAAAAACTGGATTAGTAGCAATCTGAATAGCACTTGTATTATCAGCATGGAGAGGAGTAGGATGAGATTGAGGAAATCCAATCTCAGCAAGTAATCCACGAAGCCATACAACCTCGGAGCAAGAAGTAGACATGGATCGATATTCAGCCTCTGTTAAAGATTTTGACACACGATCTTGCTTTTTACTCTTCCAAGATATCAATGACTCTCCAAGAAACATGCACCAACCAGTGACTGAACGACGAGTATCAGGACATCACGCCCAGTCAGAATCACTAAAAGCCACTTGGAAAGAACAATCCACGAGTAGATGTTCCTAGAAGATACCGAATGATGCGACGAATAGCCACCAAGTGGAGATGACGGGGAGCTTGCATAAATTGACTAACTTGTTGCACTGCAAAAGAGATATCAGGCCGAGTAATAGTAAGGTAATTTAGACTCCCAACTAATTGTCGAAACATAGTTGGATCAGGAAGAAGATCGCCTTCCTCACGACGATACTTCACATTCAATTCCAATGGAGTATCTACAGAGGAGAAGTCTTGAAGACCAGCCAAAGAAATCAAATCCTGAGTATATTTGTGTTGGTTTAGAAACACACCTGAAGCAACATTATGAACTTCCAAACCCAAAAAATATGTAAGAGTACCAAGATCTTTCATATGAAAAGAATATTTAAGTTGTTGTTGGAGGCTAGTGATTAGTGAAGAATCAGTTCCTATGATGATAATGTCATCTACATACACCAAAAGAAGAACACAACCTGTAGATGTTTTTCGAAGAAACAAAGATGAGTCATATTTGCTCTGCTCAAAAGAAAATTGTAGCAAAGTAGACCGAAACTTATCAAACCAAGCTCTTGGAGCTTGTTTTAAACCATACAAAGACCGCTTCAACTTGCATACATCTGATGTAGGTGATGGGAATAAACCAGGTGGAGGTTTCATATATATATGTCTTCTTTGAGATCACCATGGAGAAAAACATTTTTTACATCCATTTGATAAAGAAAGCAGTTTTGTGAAGCAGCAATGGCAATAATAGTTCGCACCGTAGTCATTTTTGCTACGGGTGCAAAAGTCTCATCATAGTCCACCCCATACTTTTGTATGTTACCAAGAACAACCAATCGAGCTTTGTACCGATCAAGAGTTCCATCAGAATGAAGTTTAATTGAATAAACCGATTTACATCCAATAGGGCGGACATTTGAAGAACATGAAACAATGTCCCATGTGTCATTTTCTTTAAGAGCCAAAAGTTCCTCCTCCATTGCTTTTTGCCAACATTCAAGCTTGGAGGCTTGTGAGTAACATGTTGGAATCGAGATGGTGGATAAAGTAGAAGAAAAATCATACCGTTTAGGAGTTTGAGACACTCTAGTAGATCGCCGAGGAGGCTCAAGAAGAGCAGACCTTGAAAAAATCTCAGATTCTGATTGTGGAGCAATCTCAGGTGGCGGATCTGTTTCAGGATGGGGTAAAGTTGGCCGACGTCATTCATACACAAATCCTGGTTTGAAACGCTTAGAAGACAATGACAAATCCTCAAAAGTAGGAAGAAGAGGAGAAACATAAGATGACTTAATATGAGTAGGAAAGAAATACTGATTCTCAAAGAAAATAACATTTCTAGAAACACGAAATTTGTTAGAACTTGGATCATAGCAAATAAATCCTTTCTGTGAAGTACTATAGCCCATAAAAGCACATTTAATAGACTGAACAGAGAGTTTATTGCGTTGAAAATGAGGCAGGTGCACAAAACAAACACAACCAAATGTATGAAAACTATGATAGCTAGGATGCTTGTGAAAAAGACAATAATATGGAGACTCAATGTTTAACACTTTAGATGGAAGTCTATTAATCAAATAGACAGAAGTAGACAAAGCTTCAACCCAATATTTAGATGGAACAGAGGACTCAATCAATAAAGTACGAATGATATCCAAAAGATGACGGTTTTTAAGCTCAGCAACCCCATTTTGTTGTGGCGTATATGGGCAAGAGCATTGTGATACAATTCCTTTCTCAAGCAAAAAATTATTGAATTCATGAGACATATATTCTCCACCAGAATCAGATCTTAATATTTTGATGCATGTGGAAAATTGAGTCTCAACGTAAGCCAAAAATTTCTTGAATATGGAAAACACTTCAGATTTAGATCGAAGAAAATACACCCATGTAAACCGACTATAGTCATCTATAAATGTCACAAAATACTTGAAATGAGCATGAGAAATAACTGGTGAAATGCCCCAAACATCAATATGAATGACATTAAAACACTTTGCAGCATGACTACCAAAATTAGGAAAAGGAAGAGTTTTACTTTTGCCTAATTTACAAGTAGAACAATCAAAGAAAGAAGCTGAAAATTGATTTTTATTTCCCAATAATCCAAAATTGGACAAATGAGACAAGCAATAGAATTTGGATGTCCTAGACGTTTATGCCAAACCTCATTCTTAGTAGTGGTAGAAGAAAAAGCTAGAACACGAGGAATAGAAAAATGTATAGGAAACAATCTGCCAACTTTAGGCCCCTTTGCGATTATCATCCCCGACACCTGATCCTGCACAAGGCAACCATTACGAGAAAAATTCACATTACAATTGTTATCTACCAATTGGCCAACTGAAATAAGACTAGTGGAGAGCTTTGGTGATACAAAAACATTCTTGAAAGTTTCAGTAATATCCCCAACCTTGGTAATGGATAAATTACTACCATTGGCAACCTGAATTTGTGTTGGACCACTATACTCACGAATGTTTTTAAGTATATTAGTTGAGTTGGTCATATGATTGGAAGCGCCAGAATCAACAAGCCAAAATTTAGATATTACATCATTACCTTGTAGTCCCAAAGTTGAAAATGCTGACAAGATCATTTGTTGTACCGTTTCAGGAGTAAGAACTTGTCCTACTGAAGACAAGTTATCTGTAGTGGAACCATTTATCCCAACTTGAAAAGCCTTTGCCCTACGATTTTGAGGATGTGTGGGACACAGTTTGATAATGTGTCCTTGTTGTTTACAATAATTACTGTAACATCCGGCAATTTGAAATATCTATGAAGAGGCTTAAAAATCGGAAATAGTCATTTTTGGAAGGAATTCAAAAAAATTAGAAATTTGGCTAAGTGTGGAAATCAGTGAGTTTTGGCCAACTTTGAGCAGTCATAACTCCTAGCTCCGGATGAGTTAGGAGTAGTTACAGTTATGTTTGGAAATCCCTTGGAATAATCTTTCCAACGCCGCCGAGTTTGCTCGATCCCAAGTTCGTATTAGCGAGTTATGCCCTTTGAAAGTTGGGCAGTTGGCAGGGAATCCGTCCGGAAAATTTAAGGGCATTTTGGTCTTTTCCCTAGCCATTTCTTTTGGGATTATATTGTGGTGTTAGGCTGATTTTTGGATAATTTTGTCCCATTTTAAAAGAGTGAGAGCTAGGGCTTGAGAATGAAGAGGAGAAGAAGAGGAGAAAGAGAAGATCAAGCAAGGAGTTTCCGTCAAGGATCGTCGGGGGTGATCCCTACTAGGTATGTGAGTTCTTAGTGTGGGTTGATCCTTTCCCCCACACACCAAAATCATTATTATTGAGAAAGATTGGATATGTTGTTGAAGTTGTTGGGTTGTGTTGTTGATGTTGTTGATTGTGTTGTTGAAGTTATTGTTAGTTGTGGGACATGATTTGGTTGTGTGTTTGAGCTGAATCTCTAGTATATTGGGGGGTTTTATGATCCTTAGTGTTTGGGGTTGAATCCATTGAGGTTAGAGAGGTTTAGAGTTGGAGAAAAGAGGGAGAAAAGTCGGGTTTTCTGGGGAAGGGTCTGGCGCGTCGCGCCAGCCAGCACGCCCCAAAGGGGACTCTGAAGTCCAGCCCTTGGGGCGGCGCACCTCTCAGAGTGCCAGTAGGTGCCTTCTGAGCTTCGAGGACTGGTGCTTCGTGCCTTGCAGAGCGCCAAGGACGCCATGTTCTCCCTTTCTTTCCACACTTTCTCATGCATGTTCCTAGGTATTGTACCTATGTTTCCTACTTGTTTCCAACACTCTAATGTACATTTAAACCTCCCGAACTCATCTATAAACATGCGATCATATACCTTGAATCCATGATTCAATTCGAGGCGAGTTTGGATCAAAGTCAAGTGAAGTTAGAGTCAAGTTAAGCAAGTTAAGAAGTAAGTCCAAGCAAGTCTTTAGAGTTGTTAAAGAGTCTTTATTGAACGTTTTAACTTCATTTTAAGGCTCAAGTTTCAAGTCGAGTAAAGAATATAGAGTTTCAAGTTAAGTCAAGAACATAAAGTTGAGTTCATTTCTCAAAGTTATTAGGGAACTATGTATTCCCAAAGAAGTTTTAAAGAAATGTTTTTACATTTAAACAAGGTTGGAAACTGAGATTTCCAAAGAGCCTTCGGGCTAGTTTTTGAGTAA